CGGCACTTTGATAATGCGGCATCAAAGGTTTTGTACTTACTTCTCAAAGAAATTTGCCGCTTTTCGGAAGTACATGGTTATGATACACGCGCCGGCGGCTTCTTTTGAAATCTAAAACAATCGTTGCCGCCACGCCGAAATCATAACATTTGACACTATTTGATTGCCGCCATAGGGTGTAGGTATACTCATGCAAAATAATTTCGAATTTTTTTACACGCTTTATATTATTGTTTGATTTGCGGCGGCATCCTTATCATAGAGCCGGCACGTGGCGAGGCGGCGCGGTAGAAAGCAAGGATCATAAATGTTTATTAAGAAACAGTTACTTCCATGGAAAACGACATATAGGTCAGTTGATTTTTCGAATTTCTTATCAAATCTTCAGTTATTTATTAATCTGCTTGATCTTTACTATGGCTATATTCATTCAAGCTCACAATGTTCCAATTCTAATACGTTTTTCTAGGATTTAAAGTAAACTTTAATAAATAGTAATAGACTAATAGGTAATTGCAAGACTTGCAAGACTCTTGCTGCAAGACCAAGACCAAGACCAAGACTGGGAGCGCAAGACCAAGACCAAGACCAAGACCAGGTGTATTGGCGCAAGACCAAGACCAAGACTGGCTAAGTCTCGTCTTGTTCTTGCGTTTGGGCAACACTACTACTTACTCTGAGTCTTGTCAAAAAAAGGATAATTAATGTTTTCTAATTATGGTGCCGTAAAAGAAAAACAACGTAGATAATCGAAGATAAAACATTTATTTTAAATAATTAAGTACTTATTATTTTTGTTTACTGATGTGTAAAACTATCGACTTAAATATTTATCTATAAAAATTTAACACTTCTTGCCTTTACATTTGCGAAATATTCTATCAACTTTCTTGTATCCAAACTGTCTAAAATTTCATTTTCAATTGAAAATATAGCTAAACAACTTAGTCTTTACTGGAGCTTTGTTGATGTTAAATAGTTTTTGATAATTTTTAATTTTGAAAAGGATCTTTCACCAGATGCTACTGAAACCGTCAGTGTAAGAAATATTCTTAGCGCTATTGCTCTGTTCGGAAATGTTATTGATAAAAAGATATTGTAATAGGGTTTGTGGATCATTAGACTGGTTTTCTGCAAAATGCAACTTTAATGCATTTAATGTTAAATCAGCTTTAAGTTTCAAATTTAAGTCTTTACAATGTTTCATTGACTAATCATTGGAATAATTAAATAAGTTATTGCTAAAAAAGCCAAATACGTCGGTAAATGTTTTTAACGCATCGAAACTATCCTTTAAAGAAATTATTGTCTGATCTAAGATTCTAAAATAAAACTCTACTCTGTATTTGACCTTTGTCTACTAAAACCTCATCACTGTGTTCATAGTGAAGTTGTTTACCAATTGAAAAGAAGTTCGAAAGGTATTCCCCTAACTTCGCCAGTTCTGGTTTTCATAGAATGACAGACGACGTTTGATATTGTATCTTAGTTTTAACGGATGCCAATAAATGACTGTATTAACGTCATTCGGTCGGATTTTTTTCCAAGCTATGAAATATTTCTTATACTTAAAGTGGGGTGGGTATTATGACAATGATTTAAATTAGGCACGTAATGAGTCGCTCGATTTGCCGCCCCCTTTCCGTGCCGCCCTTGTGCGGTGCACGCTCTGCACGCCCGCTTACGGCGGCCCTGATAAAAATAATGTATATTTACTAGTACAATTATGGGTAAGACATGTAAAATTGCCAAAAGACTAGAGGTGGAAAAAAAGATTAATTACTATTACCAATTACAATGAATCAACTATCAGTTCCTGAAAATTTATTAAAAATGATTTTTTGTACATGTAAGATTGATAGGGGGTGTAGAAAAATCGGCTTAAATGTTTCAATATCCTGTTTAAAGGAGTTAAATACAACTTCAATGCTCTACCAATGATATTAATGGATGACATCGAAAACGTCGGTGACAATTAGTTTTATCAAAAATTTATAATTATTCAAAACATTAAAATTTATAATAATCATTGCTTAGCATAAGTTGCTAATAAATCATTTTCTATAGGGAATTGATGTCTGTATTTGTATCATTAAACGCTTCTTTCATTTACTCATTTCGCTTTTTAGAGATTATACCATTTTCAAATTAATTTTAAAAATAGTTTCATGTTTTTACACATTTCTTATAAACAGCGATTAAAACTGTTTTAAAATTCTGATAATTGTNAGAAAGTTAAAATTACCCCAATTTTACATGGGTAAATTTTTTAGTTTAAAGCATTGGCAATCTAAAATAAAAATCATTTAAATCCATTCTTTACAGCTGGGGTCCATCATTTTTCGTTTATCATGACTAATTACTTTCGACTATATGCACAGTATTTTTTTTTTAATAATCAATTGTTCTCCTTTATTTGTTAGAAATGAGTTTTAGTAGCACATTACAAATTGCATTTATTTATAAATTCAGTATTCAGCTACTTATACCTTTTATAATTAGATAAAGTTGATTTACAGATAATCTGGATTTAAACTTAATTTATTCGCCAGCAAAAGGAGAATTCTGTTCTAATTTAACAAGGCCTAACTAGTAGGTACTATTAATTATACTGTAGGTACAAAAAAAGGAAAAACAGGAAATTAGCCCAATGTCCAGCTTGCGGGCTCCTAGTCGATTTAAATTTTTCACGCAAGCACTTGAAAACCGTTGCCATTTTCCGCTTTCGTGATCTCGGAAAAAGAACCGCGATTATACTCGTTGATTTATCTAAGTTCCTTAAAAGAAAACACTTTAAAAAATGTTTCGTCGCCCTAAATTGCTTTCGTATCGGAGAAAAGAGTATCAACTGTTGGATGCGGCCTATATCTTACGTTCGTTCGTTCGTTATTCATTTTATCTTTCAGGACGGTCTGAGACGGCGAATGGACAAATTGAAAAGTTCCATTGAAGAAGCGAACCAAGCTGTCGACAAAGAACGGGAAAAGAACGTCAGCTTACTACATTTAATTTTCCCCCCAGATATTGCCAAACGACTCTGGTTAGGTGAGTACTCAAGCTTATAATAAACATTTCTACGTCTTGTCGTAATTGGAAAATTTCGGGCAACGAACTCACGTTGACTTTTACGCAAGAGCACTAGCTTTTACTACTTCTTTAGCACTTTCATGTACGTTGGAAGTATATTTTTGAAACAAGGAAAAGGAAAAACAGATAATATCTAACCTACTACTTCTTCAGTATATATACAATGCCAATGGCCCCATCTCATGTTAGTCGGCTCACCTAATGAAGTCTTACCTTATTCGACACCTTCAAAAAATAATTTGAAAAATAAAGTAAGTTATTTGACTTGACAGCCGTCCATTTCCAACAAGTTTTGTTATCTGCGTATGTGTTTTGTGATATTCATCGATATACTGTCATATACATCATAATTATAAGGTCGTCAGTCCTAAGACTGGTTGGACACGCACCTCCACGCTCTCCTATCATGAGTACCTGAGCTAATTTTCGCATTTCCCCAAAATTAGAACATCTCACATTATTAACTATTTGTGAACAGTAATCTAATCTCTATGGAAGTCAATAAAACATAGCCGAGACAGGTTTGTAGAACACCTCCTCAGGCATAGAGGTCTAGTCACAGACATATTAGAGGCAGATACAGGAGTTAAGAGTAGAAGTAGACCTAGATTAGATTACTGTTTGCAAATGGTTAATAATGTGGGTTGATCTAGTTTTAGGGAAATGCGAAGATTAGCTCAGGATAGGAAAGAGTGGCGGTGCGTATCCAACCAGTCTTAGGACTGACGACCTTATGATGATGATGAATCTAATCTTTTAACTCCTGTTTCTGTTTCCAATATGTCTCTATTAACTAACCCTTCATGCCCTTCTACCAACCTATCTACCCCTCTTAACTTTCGTTTCTACTTCTAATATGTCTCTGACTAGACCTTCATGCCTGAGAAGGTGTCCTACCAATCTATCTCGCCTATTTCTTATTGACTTCTACAGCGCCCTCTATTTTCCTACTCTTTCCAATACCTCCTCATTTCTAACTTTCTCTATCCACGGTACTCTCATCATTTGCCTTGCAATCCCATATCTCGAACGCTTCTAACCCTAAATACTAAAACAATTCTGAATTTTAATTGATTAATTAAAAGTGAAAAGCATTTTCTTTTACTAGGGAGGTCAGATTGGGAATGAAAATTTGTTTAACTGTTTCATAACATAAACAAAAGGCAAACAAACGATTGTTATTGACGAACAATTATAAACAAACGATTAGAGTAATTTAAAGTTCAAGGGGAGTCAGTTTGTTAGACCTGGCTAAACGAGTTCAACAAACGGAAAGAAAAGTGCCGTTTTTATTTTGACGTATTTTGTAAAAGAGGTTGCATAATTCGAAAACGATTTGTTTAAACCGCACTGACACGGCTCCTTAAGGCACGTTCTCACGCGTGACCGATTTTATTTGATCAACAAAAGTTGAATATAACTGGAATCAGTTTTTGTTCACACATTTCAATATCAACTAAACAACAGTTTTTGTTTACAAATGGCGTCGAATACAATTGTTTGCGAATGAGTAGAAATAGTTGCAGTTTTGTTAAGAGAACAATTTGTATTGATGAAGCTTTTAGATATTGTAACTCCATTTTAATGTAGAAAATAAACACAAGAAAAAGTTACAAAGATGTTTATTTTACCACACTGTACATTTCGCCACACAGTGGTTTCTTCAGGTGGAAGAACTAATACTGTTACTTAATTACTTAATTATTGAAGTGGGGGTCTAAACTAAAGAAGTCACTGTGTGGCGAAATGTGCATTGTGGTACAATAAACATGTTTGTAACTTGTGTTTGTGTATTTTCTACATGAGAAAAATTTAATGTAGTATGAGCAAAAGTCGTAATAAACAACGTTTCTGGGTGAGGCACAAAATAGGTTAGGAGCATCAAAAACGGTGCTGAAGGATGTAGCACTGGAGGCTAAAAAAGGATATGGAAATCGAAAGTTCACGATTGCATCTAAAAACAAAATACATCAGTTGTGTGACAAGGAAAATTAAAGCTGCAGTAACTTTAAGATATTTAGCTCCAGGAGATTCATTTTAAATTCTTGCTTCGTACAATCGTACTACGTAGTCCACAAACGTTGTCTACTTAATTCACCCGTTTCAATACAAGTTTCAACTTGAAAGAAATGCGCGATATGACTCATTTCTTCAACGACAGAAGTTTGGCTGGAATGAACTTTTCTTCATCAACTTAAAAGTTGATGAACTCTGTTGAAACAAAGGTTCTCACTACAGCTTTTATTTAATCATTGTTGATCAACTAAAGTTGGTTAACTAAACTTATTGACGCATGAGATCGCCCCTTTAGAGTTCTTCCATACCACACAGAGCATTCTTCGCCACTCACTCTTGACAATGTCTAATAGTATAAGCGGTTTTTCGAACTGATTTTTGACGAGTTTTATGATTTTTATCGTACTTTTGATTAAAGTGAATGAGAAACTTTTCCCTAACACAACGCTACTTCAATATTTGCTGTGGATTTGTTTTTCGCTGATTGGCCTGTAAATGTTTTTACATATCAGTGATTGTATTAATAGCGAATAAATATTTTTAATAAGTAATTTACCACGGTCATGTCAATGAAATATTTTAGCTCAAATAGACCTCCCCAGGATATATATGAACTAAGTAATAAATTGCCGAAAAATCACGATTTTTGCAGTTTTTATTTTTTTTTTTTCATAAAAAGTTATGAAACGGTTTTGACTTCATAATGTCCCATTATAGAAATCCTTGAACTAAAGCAAAAACCTCAAGAAATATTTGCCCTTTTTTAGTTATATATCGATATTATAAGTATTTGTATTGACGGGATGCTAAATATGTTAAATATGTAACTAAAAGTATTCCCTGAGAAATCTTTCACTGGGCCAACTGACCTGAGAAGGTGTTTACAGCATTAAACGAAAACAGAAGCAACATAGCATACCGTTATTGTAATTATTTTTCTGTATTTTCCATTATTTCTTTATTCAATAAAGATTTTGGTTAATATGATATAAATAGCCACGATAAGCGTGTTAATTATATATTTCTATTTTGTTTTTATGTTAGTTGTCTACAGTTACGATTAAACCATTGTTACTCTGTTTACATGAACGATATCGCTATTTTCGAGAGTTTGGAGTGTACAACAATCTGAATTTATTTTGAAAGATATCCTAACAGACAGTTAACTAATTTAAAATTAATCAAGAGTGTATAGTGTCAATATTGGCGTCATCATAAAAAAACATTCTCGTGAAACAATTGAATAAAAAATGCAAACATCGAAAAAATTACTAAAAGAGATAATATACGTAAATACGTCTGTTTTTCATGTAAACCGTTTTACTTAAATTATATTTATTATGCAGCTACACGACAATAAGTTACTTATCAATAAAGAATGACCTAGCTTCATTTCACCAAGAAATATTAAATCTAAATACATGAAACAAAATCGGATTAGTTACACCATTTATAACTCGAGAACGGCTGGACCGACTTTAATAACTTCTGATTTGTTGGATTTGCCTCCGCCCTCAATAGTAGAATAACTAATAAAATATCGGAAAATTTCACAGAAAAAAAATTATACAAAAAATTCATTTTTAAATAAATTAGGTTTGGAACTACTACATCTTCCACAATTGACAGCTCCCGTCACGGACGCTTATAGCTAATTTGAAATAATTCATGTCCACTGCAAATCAGTGACATACTACACATTATAGAACAGAAATTC